GACGTTGCAAACTGGTCCGAGAGGTTTCAAAGTGTTCGTGGTAACCTTTTCGTCATCTTTTTATAGTTACTAAACTCTCTATTATTGAAATTCATTTATTCCTAATGAGATTTGAGGCATGAGTAATACGAAAAAATGTTTATAACTTGTAATTTCAAATAATTTATTGTTTGCACAAAAAGTTAAAAAAACAAAATTTTTTGTAAAAATAGCAATATTTTGTAACTTTTGAAAATTTTACTTTTTCATTTTTAATAAACACATGTTGAATATATTTATCATTTTAAATTTTGTTATTTAAAAAAGGCAGTTTAAAGTTAGCTGTTTGGCAAAATTCTGACGTACTACATTTTGATATCAGAATCGTCCTGGTCAAGCCGTCTTTTTTCATCAGTACCACCACCTTTTTTATGTACTTTGGTCATAAGTTTAACAAACCGTTTAACTTGTGTGTGACAAAAAAAAAAAAAAAAAAAAAGGTTTGGAAATCCTGTCACAACGATATGCCAGTCTTTAATAGAATTTTTATGTCCTCATCCGTAATGTTCCTTAATAGCGGAGGAAAAGAAATATTGCAGTTATCCCATCAAATAATGATGATGTAGTCAGTTGCTTCAAATTTGAGTTTTGACGTCATGAAATTCCGAATAGTCTTTTCCTCAGAGAGCTTTCTCTCTGATATATCTTCTCTCCTCCACAATTATTGCAAAGATCAAATTTTCGGGATGAGCAAAGAAAGCATTCCGCTGAATAACTAGGTTGAAAACTTGCAGTAAATTTTGAGTTAGATATCGTGATGTTCTGATGGTTTCAAGAACTATCTTTAGACCCTATGTGAAATTTAGCTTATTTTGATTTTGAGCCAGAGAAGCGAGTTATAATTGCAAATAAAATGTATCAACTGCCTAAGTTCATTCAGTATGTTTTTCTAAGCTCACGTAAATTCTGAAAACTCGATTTTCTTTCGTCTTCAGTGTAAAAGAGAACCAGAATCATAGTCTACTAAATCTCCTAAAATTGCACCTGACTTTATAGCAGCGGAAATGTCAAGTAATTATAAGTGATCTTTGCTGAATACTTTTCTGGCAGCCTGAGGGATGGAGAATTCAATGCATTCAAAAAGAACCAGTGGAACGTTTTCATAACAAACGAGGTTTTTTCCTGATGGATCCACTGAAGGGCTTGAAGCTTGTCCAACACCTCTAAATTTGGATAGAGTTACCATTCAAATGATGAAATGGATAATGTAACTGCAATTCTTTGAAGTGTAGGAGATAGTAGATTCATTGAAGTGTAGAAGCCCACTTCAGTGGTCTTCCAACATTCAATTCGATCTCGTAGATAACACCACTTTTTAAAACAGTATTAACTACAGATCCATTGTTTTCTATAACATGAAGTTCTTCAAGGAAAATCTCATAAGTAATGAAGTGGGAAATTATGGTAGAAGCTATATATTTAGCAAGTTTGTAGAGGGAGAAACAGAACTGATAAATTCTGATCCTGGTTCTAATTGTGAGGAAATAATGGTTTTCAGTGCTTCAAAAAAGCATTAAATTAATTACTTCCTTGTACGAAGTAAAAAGGAAGTATTGTAATTGCAAAAGTTCAGCAGCTATTCAACGAAAAATCCATTTGAGCTTAACCTTAAGATTTTTTGGTATTGTACTAAACAGAAAAATCTTTCTAAAAAATTAAAAAGCAAATTTAAGAGTTTTCTGGCCTTAAAATGATATAGATTACAGTGTCTCAAAAAAGTGATGGGACACTTGTGCTTTACAAAAGGAAACTGTAATAAAATAAATTTAAAAAACATGTAAAAATTTTTGTGGGTGTGTTTCATACTTAAATTTAGTAACAATTATTACATAACATACATTTTCTCAAAATATTAAAATATTAATTTAATAAAAATACAATTGTTTAGAACGGAGCAAAAAATGGCTCACATAAGTGATGGGACACCACGTTACTATGCAACAAAAATCGTCTGAAGTAAGCAATAAAAATATTTTTTGGGTTTTATTTTTACTCAAAAGCAATTGGCAATAATTTATAAAATCGTCTGCAGTATTTCTCTCCAGTTTGTTTTGGAATTTTTGTGTTTTTTAGCTCTGTGCAGCCATGAATGCTAAACGAAAAGAAACTTTGCCTGAAATTCGAAAATTAGTTATTAATTTGCATATTGAACGTGGAAAATCTATTAGAGAAACTGCTGAAACAGTTAACTTGAGTCATTCAACAGTTTTCAATATCATTAAACGATATAAAAAGAATCATATGATTCAGGATAAAAGAAGACCTGGCCGACCATCAAAGCTATCCAATGGAATAAAGCGAATTATCGTTCGAAATATTAAAAAAAAAATCCAAGAATGAGTGCTCCTAAAGTTGCTGCTGATTTACAAGCATTATATGGAGTAATTGTTAATCCTGAGACTATTAGAAGAGTAATTCGATCTGCTGGATATCACGGTAGAGCAGCCAGGAAAAAATTCTTCGTAAGTGAAAAGAATAGAAAACTCAGACTGGCTTTCGCAAAATCCAACATAAATAAGAATTCTGATTACTGGAATGAAGTTATATTTGCTGATGAGAGTAAATTTAATATATTTGGTTCTGACGGTAGAATCTTGGTGTGGAGAAAACCCAGGGAAGAATTTCGCAAACAGAACTTGGTGCCAACAGTAAAACATGGTGGAAGAGGAGTTATGGTATGGGGGTGTATGTCGTCCGCTGGAGTTGGTAATCTTGTTTTTATTGACAGTATAATGGATCAGTACAAGTATATTGACATTTTAAATCAAAATTTGAAATCTTCAGCACGAAAATTGAACCTTCATAACGATTTTAAATTCTACCAGGACAATGACCCCAAGCACACTGCTTTGAACGTTAGACTCTGGCTGCTGTATAACTGTCCTGAAATAATAAAAACACCACCACAATCTCCAGACTTAAATCCCATAGAGAATATTTGGCAAGAATTGGAATCAAGAATTCGCAAACACACCATTTCTTCAAAACAACAATTAAAATAAAATCGGTGCTTCAAGAAGAATGGGGTAAAATCACTCCAGAAATCACAAAAAAAAAATTAGTCGAATCCATCCCAAGAAGATTAAATCATGTTTTAAAAGTAAAAGGAAATCCAACAAAATATTAAAACCTTTTAAAAAGTAAAATTTTTGGATAAATATTTGATGGAAAAGTAAGTGTCCCATCACTTATGTGAGCCATTTTTTGCTCCGTTCTAAACAATTGTATTTTTATTAAATTAATATTTTAATATTTTGAGAAAATGTATGTTATGTAATAATTGTTACTAAATTTAAGTATGAAACACACCCACAAAAAAATTTACATGTTTTTAAAATTTATTTACAGTTTTTTTAAAGGAACAAGAGGCATCTTGGTGGACCCTTATTATTATATCCACCTATTACCCGCTCGTGATCTCAGTTCTTACTCTTATATGTTTGTAAATTGTATAGTTTTTGCTTTAAAAATGATTGAATTATGTTGTTTTTATCTTCCGGGTAAGGATTTTATGCCTTTAGTAAATCTGTGTGCAATATTTTTAGAATTATCAGCAATTTTAAATTTGTTTAATGACCGCTAAGCCTGTTTTTAATGGCGGCCATTGATGTTTATATTTGAAACAGGAGACTAGTGGATTTTTTGCCAATCTAGAGAAACTTAGCTCCGCAACAACAAAGATAACGCATTCATTTATTATTGCCAATTAAATCATGCTTAATTCTTTCTGGAATTTTTTCGAGGAAATAAGCGTTTGAGATTTACTTCCTAATTTTTAATATAGATAGGTTTTTTTAATTTTTGCCTTCTCGCGAAGTGAGAACTGAATTAATTAAATGAGAAATACTCAATCGTGTGTGAAAAACTGTTTCTGTTTTGTTTGCTTAATTTCTTTTATACATAGTTCTAGCTTTATTATAGTATTTGAATAGAACATGTGGCAACGATTAGATAATTCTTTAAATGATATACATTTTCTGCATTCTGAGTTATAATATGAATGAAATATAATACTGTTAAGTAAACCTAGCGCCAGAGTGTTGCTATGGTAAACAAAGTGAATTTTAAAGAATGCATTTATTCTATTGTGGTTATGCGCTGTCGGCGAAGTAGATTTAATTCAATCTAATAAGTTTAAATAAAATGCAAGAAAAAATGCGTATAATTTAATATTCCGTACAAGGAAGTCATGTGGTGTACACATCAGATTTTTTTTTAAAATTATCATCGTGTCGTCGTTTCTTCCATCAAAGTACAGACCACGTAGTTTTTAATTAATAAATTGATTCTGCCAATCAGTTCTGTTGTTACTGTTTTTCTTCTTATCAACGACGTGAGAGAATCAATTATTACATACATAGTTACATAATGTTTACATATACATAATATTTACAATTACACAATATAGTTACATAATAATTGATAGTTATAGTCAGCGTGTAAAACGGTTTGAAGCAAAATTTACGAAATACTTCTATTTTTTTTAAAAAAAAAAGTGTATTTTTTTAGCATTTGAGTAAACAGTAAAGAATTTAAAATTATAGGTTTAAAACATTTTTCGTTCAAAGAGCTCATGCCCCAAAATTCACATTAGGACTTACCGGGTTTCGACAGTAGTAAATTTAGCAACTATAAAAAATTAACGAAAAACATCAAAATTTCACCATTTCAGAATTTTTAAGTGCGATGTATGAACGGATGATTTAATCATTTGAAAATTATTTTTTTCATTTTGCTTAGCTAGGAGATAAGCAACGTTTCCCGATTAGAGCGGTAGAAAAATATATAAATAAAAATTGTTTTTCGGCTTATTCTATTACTTTTGCTTAAATAGTCATTTTCATGACTTCGTTTCTCAACGCTGCAACAAGAAAGAAATGTAATTTTCTAACACTTTTAAAAAAGCAGTTCGTACAAAAGTTTCATGATAAAAGACAAAATACTCTTTAACGACAACTTACTCAGTACGTATAGCTTTATAAAATAGAGACGATAATAACAGAGCTCATTTTTTTGTGCAGAATGGGTTCCGCAGCTATAAAAGCCTTGATCCTTAGCTGTCAAGTGGTGTAATGTCAGATTTGAATAGTAATTATCGAAAGATCTCGGTATTCCTCTCCGGTAGTCGTAGATGCTGCATGACGGAAGGAATGAAAATAAACCAATTTATGGATTGGAGGTTGTCTTTGGACTTCCTTCTTCCAAACAACTTCTATATGATTAGTACAAAAAAAGTGCATTACGCAGGGCAGCTCCACAGATTTCCCAACGAAACCGTAAATAACTCTTACTGAACCTGTAGAGAATTATAAAAACCTGATTAATGAGTGGAACATTCGTTACGAGAAAAAGATAGAAAACGCCAAGAAACATTGAAGTTATAAATATGATAATATTAGATAACAATTAATATTTATGTTTTAGTAATTTAAGCATAGCATTATTTTATGTTTAGTCTGTTGACGATGGACTAATTCCTATTCAATTTTTTAACAACACTGCAACCTCTTCTGCTTGTGTTTGTTATTAGAATATTAGTTTTTCATTCGCAGGCAAATTTTCTTTTGCATTTCTCGAGACGAAAGCTCTTTGAAAGCAATATTCCGAGAAATGCAAAACTTTTCATTTATTTATTTTTATTAGAATTTAGTTTGTATAATAAAACTTTCACCATGTTCTACTGTGATAATAGTTTTTTCCTACTGTTTGCTCAAATGAGTATGGCATTTGAATTTGCTTTAATATTTCTTGTTATAATACTAAATGTATATATGTATGTGTGTAACATATGAAAACATAAAGGAAAATTATTAACAAATTTAATTTAATTGAAACAAATTTTTAACTTCATTGGCAATAGCCATTTAAATTGTTCATTTTAATAAGGTACCTCCCCGCTTCAAAAATGCCTATTGCACCATTTTGAGTCATCATTTCTCAGAATTGCGAAAACTCCTGCCCACTTGCTATCCAGAACCCAGAGCTGCCATTTACGTGCTACGTTTTCTTCCCTGCTCTCGCTACAGAAGTATGTAATTAAGCGCTTCGCTGCCTCAAATGTTGTAACAATATGATTTGCCTATATAGAATTTCGGGGTGCAGATTGTATCCAATGTTCTGCGTGATGTCTGTAGAATGGGCTTCCAAAGAATTGTTTACATTCTGAAACGAAAATTATGTTTAACCATCAGGCGAGATGAACTTTTCTATCTACTACAGAGTAAATTCGAGCTAACTTCAATAGTCTGAGAACTACAACCTTCCGCCACTTCAGCCATGATTGTTAGTTATTGATTCCATTAAGTTCTCTCATCATCGTATGACTAAAAATATTATAAAATCTGCTGTCGCCACTCCAGCCACAACTGCGACGCAATTGGTTTTCCCATCTTCCCATCCAAAAAATTATCACACAGGAGTTGGACAAAAATATGGAAACACCGAAATAAAAACACTGCTTGCAATCTTCTCGAAATAGATATATAGAGATCTTGTATACTTTGCAAGGGAACCTTGTACCATTCTTTTGGTAATACGTTGGCAAGTTCAGTTGAGAATGATGGCAATGAACAGCGGTCATCAGAATTTTCTCCATGATATCTGGTGACAGTCGTGGCCATGGTAGATGTGAAAGTTCACACTCATGCTCAGAAAATCAATCCTCGGATCACGGATCATCACTTTGCTACTAGCTTCAATTACTGTGAGTTTTTACTAATCGATTTAGTTTATTGCCCTAAGGCCAGTCACGGTAATTGACGATGTGAAGTGAGCGAACAGGAGCTTTGCCGTTTTGGAAAATGGCATCTATACTGGGGAGTAATTTGTACCATGGAATGAACTTAATCAGTCATAATGGTCACATAATCCTTGGCAGGAATGTGTCCTTGCCCAGTAATTATTGGTTCCGTGGAATACTACGATATGGCTGCCCAAACCTTGAACACCCGCCATGTTTTACTCTAGGCAGCAAACAGTTTCTATCATACGCCTATTTAATCACTGATGAGTGGCGTTGGCCAGATACACTGCTGGCCATTAAAACTGCAACACCATAAAGGAAGGCGAATACAAAAATGATATTTATTATACGTAAAGAGTATGGCCTGAAGACAAAATGATTAAATTTGTAAGCAGTTTGGGGGCTTATAAACGTACGAAATTAGTAAAAACAGCTGCCACCCATGGCAGCTAAAACGGCCCTTTTCCGGTTAGGCATAGAGTTGAACTGGGGTTAGATAGCAGAAACGGGTAAATCATTCCATGCTGCTTCAAGTCTATGCCCCACTTCATCAGCCGTTTTAGCTCGAGAGGGGTGACGAGCCAGCCTCTCAGCAACCCATGACCAGATATTTTCAATGGGTGACAAATCTGGAGACCGTGCAGGCCAGGGCAGCAGTCGAATACTCTGTATATCGAGGAAGGTTAGAACACGGCGTGCAACATGTGGTCTTGCATTACCTTGTTGAAAGATGACGTTTGGAAGGCCTCGAAATTAGACCACAACCACTGGACGCAACATGTCAGAAATGTACCATTTTGCGTTCGAATTAACGCAGATCCAAACTAGAGATGTGCATATCGTGTACCCAATGGTTGCTCAAACCATCACACCAAGTGCAAGGCGCCTATGCTGATATCGAATGCAAACAGGCTACGTGCGGTCTCCTCGGATCCTCCGCACATGTATTCGGCCATCAGAATACTGCACGCAGAACCGAGATTCATCTGAAAAGACGACATTGTACTACTCCTGTATCCAGCTTTGCCGTTCGGCGTATTAGAGTCACTGTCTCACTCTATACTGCATTGTCAAGGGAAGCCGAAGTAATGGTCGCCGTGCTCATAGTCTACGGTGCTGTAAACGTTGACGCACCTTTTGAGCGGATACTGAGCGTGCTGCAAACATGCCCGTTTCCTGACTAATGGCCCGTTATGTGGTTGTACTGTTTTTCAGGGCTGACTTTACAAGATGTCTCTCCTCTCGGGCATTGGTAATAGAAGGGCGATGAGATCCTGCATGACGCTCAGTATGACCCTCGGCAACCCAATGATTCCATATTCGCATGACAGTAGTTGATTTTCGACCAGTGCGACGGGCTATATCACGGAACGATAACCCACACTCTCGATTAGCAATGACCTTGCATCTATCGAATTCCGACACTTGCTGGTAAGCATTTTTTCTTATTATTCGAGGCCTAACACGATATTCTGAGCAAACTACGACTTTACAAAGCGCTTTCCAAATGAGAAATCCACTACACAACTTTTGTTTTATACAGTGCTTCAGATGTCGTTTCTCCCTCCTGCGTCGTCTAAATGCGCTGAAATGCTAATCATTTACATATCACAACCTCTTGATCCTTTCATGTGAGTTTGACGCTCATCAGACCATTCCTTCCTGGTGTTGCAATTTTAATGGCCAGCAGTGTATAAACTTGCTCTGAAGTCGGAAACAGTAGGAAGCAAGACTCATCCAACCAAATGACAGTCTTCGATTGCTCTGCAATCCAGGTATTATGACTTTGGCACTGCTTTCCCTTCTTATATTTTAATCACTGATGAGTGGCTTTTGTATTGAAGCTTGCCCCAAAATACCCTGTTTGGGAAACTCCCTTCGTATTGCTTTGGTGCTAACAGGGTTTGCGAGTGCGACCTTTAGTTCAGCAGTCACTATCGTGACTGTAGTCTTCTTATTTTTCATCACAATTCTCTTCAATGATCGTCTACCATCATCATTCAACAGACATTTTCGTCCTCGCTGTGATTTAGTGGATGCGGTTTTCCTGCTACTGTGCCTCTTGAAAATCAAACACTTCAGCTTCCTTCGTTACGGAAAGCACCTACCATTACGATCCCTAACCACTTGCCTGCGTTCGAATTCATTTAGTTCCGACATGATGCACTCGCAAGTGCACAGAACACTGTCTCGGTAACGAATGACACTTGCAACGTATTAGGATGTTGTACAGGTTGTGTTAGTGAGCAAACACATCAGCATCACTAAGAGCTTTTGCAAGAATAAACATTTCAGTTCAAACATGCATTTTAAGAGGCGTCTCCATATTTTTGTCCAGCCCCTGTATATGTATACCGTATTTCCTCCCGTATTTTCCCTCTTCTTTTTCTAATTTTAATACCCAAAAATCAAGAGGAGAAAATTATGCGAATAACTTAATTTCCGAAGGACGCTGTTACACTAAACGCAATAAAGAAATTCATTATTGTAATGGCTTAATGTATTTTTATTTTTTTTAATATTTGGCATAAAATTGCTTAACTTAATTCTGAAATCATTTCTTTACAAAATACTCAATCTGTTTCTCATTTTCCACAGTAAATTATTGATTTGACTGAAGATTGCTTCTATAAGGTAAGAAAAGGGGAAAATCAATAGTGTTGTTAGGTAAAAACTTTTATTTTAGGATATATTCCTCTTGGAGGACTTTTAAATTCCAAACCTTAAAGAATATATATGTTTTAAATATAACTTGTACTTGAACATCCTCCTTAAATGCAATTAATTCTTCTTGCTTCGTAATATCAAGAACAAACATATCAATTTTAAGCGTTTTTCCGAGCAATGCTGCCATAGTCAAATTTTCAATGTCTTGGAATTAAATCTTAAATAAATCTATAAATCTTCTAAATTTTGCAAGCAGCTTGTTTATAACAGTATATCTTCTGAGGAAGTTTTGGTGTTTTTTATTTATTTATTTATTTATTCATGTCTAAGCTTTATTTTTTATATTGTGCTTTTAAAAATTTATAACCTGAATAATTATTTTTATATATAAATATAATAAATAATTTTTCCTGCATATTTTTTTCTCCTTATATTTATTCGATTTCTACCACTATATGATACAGCTTTATATCAATAATTATTATAATATTTTTTATATTTTTAAAATATACTAAATAAATTTTCCTGGATATTTTTTCTCCTTATATTTATTTATTCGATTTCTACCTCACTATATGATACAGCTTTATATCAATAAGCAATTAATTATCAAATTTGTGCTATTAATGTTTGCTTAATAATCAGTGGGGTCTTCATTATGCCGATCAATTGCCCGTGCATATTCTGTTGTTGACCCCCAGTCGACCCCTACACCATCATTGATTCCATTTAAAACTTAGTTGAACCCGTGAGTGTCAGTACTAGTCCTACTAAGAACTCCTGCTCTAAAACATAACATATAAAGAGTAGTCATGATAAACTACAGGTAAGTATCACAATATTATTTCTTTAAAATAAATAATCATTTGGATATTTTCCCGTAGTTT